CGGCAGAGCTTGTCGAACTTAATTGCTTGCCGAACTTAATGCAAAAGTTTGATTCAGACGCCGTGCTTCTGCCGTGCTTTTGTCGAACTTAAATCCTGATTTTAGTTCGGCACGGCAAAAGCACGACGTCTGAACTGGGCCTTGGTCAGCGATATATATAAGCTTAAAGCGGAACATACCTAAATTCGACACTATCTTACTTCACTCCAACTGGAGCAGCTTACGACGAAAATATTTTAGCAAAATTCCCACAGACGTAAACGCGTTGAGTTGTGGGCCAAAAACATGAAAAATTTCGGGAATTTCGGACGCCATTCCCCCCGCGCGACATCCGCAAAAATCCTCGCAGCATGTACGGGCGTGTGCCGCAGGTGATGGCGCAATTTGTTCTAAAAATAGAATTATTGTCCCATATCATGGGGACAACCCCAATACTTGAAATGGCGCGCGCTTACGGTCTCCGTCCCCGATTATGGCTCCTGGTCGTGCTAACGACTTTACCATTTCAAATTGACTCGTTTTGCTTTCGAGGTGCGTCAGAAATTTGAAGCCGTTCCGCGTGAATAGAAATCGTTCCCGAATCCTTCAGACACACAGTAGAGATATAATAAATATATTACTAACCTCGTTTTCTCGGTCCGTACTGTAAGTTACGAATCCTCGTTTTTTTCCCTTTCGATTTATGGCCCGCGCGCTTCGCGCTTAGGCCATAATTGGATGGAAAAAAACTCGGTCCGTTAGTCTGATCTCGGCCTGAACTCAGTTAGCAAGAGGTATTTACATGGTAAATCAGCGGTGACTGTGTCTGTATATAATCTACTCTGAAATATTCCGTCTTTGTTAGGAAGAGAAGCTACTCCATCAGAAAGAAGAACATGATTTCTTCAAACTTCGTTCCTGCTCATAGTTTATACTAGAAATCTAACTGTGATTTGAGATAGACGTAAGAATGAAAACAGACTGGGTGTGACAAACAATGATTTACCAAAGAGAAGATGGAGTTCCATGTTCTCCAGAATATAATGCACACTCTAGGTCTAAAAATACTGCTGGTGGATGCACTAAGAAGCCGAGCGCGATTGCGTTCAGCAGTTTTTCTAGACCTTTAAAGTGCATTATCTTATTAGAAAATACGAAAATAGTCTATTTATATCTGACAAGGGGGAGTGGGGGGAGGCTGATTGCTCTGGCAACACAACATCCGGGACTTACGTGCTGTATAATTTGCAGCCGCGCATCTTCAGCTCAGCTCCAGTAGCAGGTGTACACAGGTAGCAAAGGGTTTATGAGGTGTTGCGTAATGAAGCAAAAACTATTGCGTGACGCTTGAAAGTAACCAAGGTATGAATAAATCTGAACAGCGATACAGTTGGGAGACATGCGATGGTAGTGAGGGTAGCTTATGTTGACAAAAGAGGATGACAATTTTTTTTTTCATAGATGACAAATCAACTGGTACAACTTGCAAAAGAAAAGGTGCGACAAGTGTCTCAACCGATTTCTATTGTTCATCTTGTCACGTTTGTTTTGTCAAACTGCCTCTATAAATATAAAGGTTTTCATGCGTGAAAGATTTAATATCCCATTCTTAAATTAATTATGTTTGTTAAAACAACGTCTGTATTTATATGACGATGATTTCCTAACTTTGATGACAGTGGCCATCGCTGAAAGTGCATCCTACGGATCACTTACTCGGATGGCACATAAATAGTGCTGTGGTACCATGAAAATTATAACTTGCTCCGAGCTTAGGGAAATCAAATGAAATTAGCCAGCTCAATATTTAATGGATTAGTGTCATCTTCTTGTATTCTAGTAGCCTTATCCTCTGAGTTAGGATACATTTTTGATACATTGACCCAAATTGGTGTACTTTCAAAGTACTGAATTTCTGATCAAAGTTTGAAAAAACTTCTATCAGTTCTGTTTGGTCAAATGCTTTTACATACAAAATTTGTTCAGTGAGGTTTACGGATTTTCATTGCAAAACGGCGTGCGATTTACGCCTTGAACCAAAAGCGACGCCCCTCTTCCTTTAGAGGCCTGCTGCATGATTATAACACAAAGTAATCATTTTCTCAAAATTTGTAACACCATAAAGAAGCCACGGCTGTGAGAAAATATCTGTGCTTTCTTTGTTAATCGCTTTATCATATAGTTGTGTTTACCTGCTAAACTAAGACTATTGAGCGATAAAATTAAAATTGTTAAATTGATTCGCTGACATTGCCTAATGCATTTTGCTTGGTCAAGATTTATATCTAAAACCTTTGAAAAATCCTTGGCTTTTCATAGCTGTCGCGAATTCAATGCGGTCGCCACTTTTCTTTCACAAATTTATACGTTTTAATGAAAATTTGAAAAAGAATGGCGACGTTAATTGCTTCGGACTGCGGGTGACCAACTATTTACACAAGAAAAAGTAGAAAAGAGTTTGCCGCTTTAAATTTCCTTTCAATGAAAGGATGATATCGGGCTATCAAAGAAAAATCCACATAGATCAAGACTGCGAGATTTATTTAAAATTAAGCAGCAGCTGTTTGAATTTTTATCTTTTCCTGAGGTTCCTAAATGTCGGAAAATTTAAGTGCCATTTATATTCAGCAACGGCTAAGACTGATTTACGTAACTTACCAAAGGCCGGCGGAAACTAACACTACAAAACAAATTTTCGTTGACGAGTTTACAATCGATATCTTAAGATGAAATTTTGTTGGTTTCATCGATTGTATATATCATCTTTGAGGCTGGTTTTCGTTCATTAAAACTTCAGGAGTTAAAGCTTTGTTCACAGTGAGAAGTACCCCACTGGGAGGAAAATAAAATTCATCAATTTTGAGTCTCTTGATCTTTTGAAAAACTAAAATAGCAGATGCTATCATTTCCAAAAATCCCACAACTTGGAGAGCACTTTGGCAAGCGGGAGTACTATTGGGTTCTCAGTGACAGAGAATAAATGCTTGATTTCTAATCACTCAGTCGACCAAAAACGGAGAAGATGGGGTGCTTTGCGTATTAAGCAGTTTAATACTTAAGATTTTAAAAGTGTTCTGGATTTTTATTATGGTAATTAGCAATATTAGTGATACTGTAGTCATCTGCGCTCTCCGAAATACCCGCTGGGCATCAGAAATTTCAAAGGTTTGTTTGCTTAAATAAAAACTACAAAAGCGTGCTGACGAGTAGAGCTGTGTTTCATAAGGTGCGGTTAGACTCATTAGCTTCACTGAACCTATCTCAGCTAGCAGGCTCAATTCTCACGGTAAGAGTTGAATAATGCCACAATAATACGTAGATCTTCTTTTTAATATTTCCTCGAGGTACGCATAATGTTTTCTCAGCAGACTCATATCAAAACAACCAGACAAGCTACGGTTTCAATCTGAACTTGCTTGGCTTGTAGTTTGGAGAGGCTTTATTTGCGCGTTATTTTAGCTGTCACATAATGAACAGTGACGAAAAAGCGACTAAAAAGTGTTTGTAATCAGGTTGCTCTTCCAATGCGCCATAGGAAGATATAAATACTATTTGGTTAACGCGATAATTTCAGCCCTGTATGTCGCGCTCCGCCCGCCGGCTTAAGTTAGTAACATTTTATTGAAATTGCATACCAGCTGATAATGTGTTTAAAAATGCTAGCTACAAAATATTTCTTACCGAAACACGAAAAAACGTCACTGTGTCCGTTGTAATTAAAATAGGGTTGGTTTTAAACTCTCTTCAACAGGATATTATCGGTTTGATTTCTCAGTTTTGGTAAGATTTTATTTTAAACTGATGATTTATGAATAATTAATGCCTCGATAACCACCTGACATATGTTTAGTTAAATAAACATGGGCCTCGCATAATGTAGGACATTTTAGATGGTATAAGGAGGCCAAAGATTCCATTCACTAACCGTTAAAGGCAACTGATCTCACAAGTCCCTCCAATTCAGCAAGTTTCCAAGTTCTCTACTGATACAAAAAACATTCGATTCCCTGTGGCCTATCTTATTGTAGAGTGTGGAAAACGGAGAAGATCAGCTCTAGGATTACTTATTGCTGCTGCCGGCTGCCGGCAAAAGGTTACAATCCCAGTAAAACGTTGTCAAATTCTTAATATACAGACATAAATCAAGGCCTTTGCCATTTTTATTGCAAGCTATATTACATGTTAGCAGCTATTGTTCAATTAGTTTCAAGAGATGTCCTTTTCCGGCTAGTTATTAGAAACACATTTTGTTCCTTTGGGAAACGTCGATTCTACCAGCAAATTTGTGATAAGGCTTGCCGTTTAAATTATTACCTCGTGCAAGCGTTTTCGGCTAACATCACGTTAAGTCGCGTACATTGTCGATTTATTTCTAAACACTGCTTTGAGGTTACCTAGTAACCAGATGTTTATAATGGCGCGATAATTGTTATGGGGGAATAGACCACCATGCATCTAAGCTTGCAACTCTAGGATCCTGAATATTAACGATTTTACAGCATCAGAAGCGTAAGATACAGAATCAGCTCTCGAAATACAAAAAAACACACATTTATTGACTTTTGTTGTTAAAATTTACGTTTTCTCTTCCCTTACTGATTTGCGCATGCCCTTGTAAAGAGATAAAGACCACCCACAGTTGTGATGGTAAAATATACGAAATTTTAAATAAATTCATTGTTTTCTATTTGCCAGAACAACCAGTAATTCTTTATTTCACTTCAGTTCGATGTTGTCATTTTTTCGAGGTTGGATACCAGTCCTTAAGGAGACAACTTCCCGAAACATTATTTCAAATATTTGTGCAAAAAGTATTCGCGAACAAAAAGACCAACACGAGTAGAGTCTATCGCGCGGTAAGATTTTTGCATATCTTGGTTTTTCTTTTTTTCTGAATAATTCTCAATGGGTTTTAATGAAAGGAAAAGGCTACTACGATAGTAAGGCTCGCTTGTATTGTTGATTAATCGGTTATATTGTCAGTTGTTTCCTAGTTTATTTACAGACCCATTTCGATTTTGCGTTTGGACAGTGATCAGGCGCTCTGAATAGCACAGCACTTTGAAAAGGTAATCATCGCTGAGAAAAATTTCAGAAATCCCTTCAGCTAAGCTTCGTAATGTTCATATCCGATAAAATACTCACGTTATATGTCAATAAGATGCTTAAAAAAACAGACATGAATTTTACCTTATCTACAATCCTTAATATCATCAAACAATTGTGTGTTTATCTGAACATTATCCATAGCCAAATTTAAAAATAACTGAGTCTATGTCACTTTTTTATATTTAAGTATTTCTACAACGTGCGGTTTGTAAACAGAAACAATACTTTCACGCCATTAAGAGACTTCTACACATTCGATTCGTCCATTGAATGATACAAAGTTGTTGATTGAATTGGTGGTGAACCTGGCCTTGTCCGATCCAAACCAAACCAGAAGGCGGAATAATTAGAACTGCGTACAGACAGGATACTCGTATTTTGTTTTATTGAAATTTATTCATAAACTACAGGACACCCGCGGTGATTTGTTTTAGGAAGACATGCGGTTTTCGTCATCTGCACGAACTTCCCTTTCTTGAGATTCCAGCTTAAATCAGAATTCAACGATGGGGGTGTAGCATCTAACTTATGAAACAACTGTGAGTATGATTAAATTCGTTTTTTGTGTTACAGAAGGATAAAGTTTAGATAAACCACAGGTGTATTTAATGTCACGAGCTCCGATTTCGACAAAATCATCAGTCTACAAAGAATATAATTTCTTTTCTCCATAATCAGATCACTCAAATGAGGGACAATCACGTATTCTGAATCATTTCAAACACTCACTAACAGCAATTTTAATTGCATTGAAAGCAATAAATACTACCAGCTGTGATTGGTTACAAAATTCTACTATCTTTGTAGTTTTTTGCTACATTTACAACCGACCTGGGTCTGGGCACGCGAAATCTTGAATTCGGAAAACAGAGGAGTATTATATGGAAAGCACGGCAAGACTGTCTGACCCGCGCTGAACACACATAAAAAAACCCACAACACATTACGTTTGTTTTTAAAACCCACTGGCTTTGATGGTGAAGTTATTTGCCTATGATGTGTATACAAATCAAATAGATAAGCGCAAGGGAAATGAAACAGGGAAATAAAAATCTAATCGTCATTATAAAAATGTGAGATGAAAATTCTAGAGTTATACAAAATAGAAGATTTGGGATATAATCTTAACGAAAGCCGCGTAGAAAGACAGTCACTAACATAGATAAAAGATTTTTTTAGTAAATCATCTTCGGCTTCGTCGCAGATTAGGCAAACACGGAGACATTTTCACACTGTACTTGACAAGAATCACGTTTTATGTCATTTAATGTGCCAGTTGTGCTCAGCAACGACACTAGTCACCATACCATGTTGTAACATTCAAACGATTGTAGCTATATATTTTTGTTTCACGCTATTCGGGAGTTTTTATCGACGCAGGGTATAACTAAATATTTTTCTGAATAATTCGTGATATTAGTAGCTCCATACATATGTGACTGTTAAAACAAACTTATTATATATTTTTACACTGACAAATTTCGCGATATGTGACGATTCGGCCTTCTTAAATCATTGTCAAATAAAATAACAGTTTGAACACTGTTTTCACTAAAAGAGGATTAAAAATGCCAGCTTGAAACAAAGATATCTCCCAGAAGTATATCTCCGAGCTCAACTTCTTTATTTGATACTGGTGAATTTACCATAAATGTTGCTACACGGGATCAAAAGACTCGAGGTTTTTTTTCCTATTTTTACTGGTATTCGTCTTTGCGGTTCTAGAAAGGATTGAGTCCATTCAAAACCAATTTTGGATTGTCTGCTTATGTGGATTGCACTGTAGCAAGTGTTAATTGAATATAACTTGTAGACATATCATCACAGACTAGGAACTGATATCGCTCCTTGTATACCAATTAGCAAATAATCAACAAGGCCGCGGCTTGTCGTCAATATCAAATAAGCGAATATCCATGAACTGCTTTCTTAAATCATTCAATAACTCCCTTCCGTGTTAAATTGTACAAAATCGAAAGACAGCTATAAACACGTCATTTTGGTAAAATTGGGGAAGCGGTTGTATAATTAGGCATTCAGAGCAGTTGAAAGTGGAATAAAGCACGCAAAGGGTGGTTTTCACAAACGCATAAGTAACATGCGCAGACGCAGTAGAGCGCTGCTAAGTAACACCTTCACCTTACTGCGTCTGCGCATTTCAGTTTATGTTCATGCGCTAGTGAGAACCAACCTGTTAAAGAAAGCTAGTCTCTAGAAAACGGTTCATATTAACTAAAGGAAGCCAAATTATTGCGGAGCTGAACATAGCATCCATTGTACAAATCTGAAAAGGAAACTGCGCTGAAAACCGAGTAAGTTCACTGAAGTAAAAACAGGTAAAAGACAACTGCAGCTGTCTATAGCAACTGGAGTTTGCTTATTCTATCACGAAATACGAGTGCTTAAATAGTTTTACTCTCCACGTGCACTGCAGTTTTGTTAAGGAATGTTGAAGGTTTCCCTTGCTGTATGGGTGAAAAGTCATCCTATATCGCTAGTTCATGGTCATTTGTATACTGCCACTCAGCTATTATAATGCTTTCACGATAAGCCGGGGCCATAGAGGTAAGAATGATCTAAAAACGGTCTAGTAACAGCACTTCGTCCCATGATGACAGTACGGGTCAAAAAGCCTGCATAAGGAACAGCCCTTTCCTAACTATTTGATTAATTCTCACACTACAGGTCTCACACCACAGGAAATGGCGTCTAACAATTCAAACAGCACCAACTCAAGTGGTCCCACAGCTGTCTATTCGGGTTCCCCGCCTCCTTTCATCGAATTACAATACCTGATATTATGGTGTGTGGTGTACTTGATTCTCGCCACTTTCGCCATATGTGGGAACGTCCTCATTATATTGGTGTTTTCAAAGAAGCGAAACTTAAGGACAAGGACCAATTATTTTGTGATTGGCCTGGCACTCGGTGATATTTTGGTGGGCACCGTAACGATTCCATTGTATGTGACTTTGCTTATTCTACTGTTCAATCAGAACTTCAAGCCAGCAAGCTTTGTGCGAAAAATATTCAGCCCGATGGATATTCTCTCTGGAATGCTCTCTATTCTCCAGTTGATGACAATCAGCGTTGAGCGAGTGTACGCCATTGCCTTCCCATTGCGTCATCGCACTACATCCGCCCGCATCAACTTCGTAATCTTGGCAACAGTGTGGTTAATGGCCGCTGGTATTGCCTCTCTTAACTTCTTCATACCGAAAGGCCCCGAATGGAAAGGCACGTTCCTCATTTATTCCACGCTTGGCTTCTTTATACCTTTCTCTGTGATTTTCTTCGCTTACACGTCGATTTGTATCATCATAAAACATAAGACAAAGATACCGCGCAACAGAGCTCGAGTTGTCAAAAGAGAGAGCCGTACAGCGCTCACAGTCTTTGCTCTTATCCTTCTTTTCCTCGTCACATGGTTGCCATTTTTCAGTCTTAATTTAGTGCTCTTCTCCTGCACAAGTTGCGCAGCAGCAGTGCCGTTGCAAGTTGTTTTATTATTCAAAGCGCTGCATTACAGTGGATCCGCATTAAATCCTGCTGTGTACTCTGCACGCATGCCTGAATTTCGACGACCAATCACCATTCTTCTCAAGGAAAGAAGATTTACAACATCTTTCTATCGGCATTCGATAGAGCGACAAACACTTAGGAGAACAAGTTCTCGACGCCGAGATGTTGAACTGTCAGACATTAATGATCAGCGGACGAGCAGTTATAGTGGAAATGAACCACGTGCTGTTACTACAAATGGAAATGATTCGGAAAAGACTGCGATTGTGGGAGGGATTTGATAGCAGCTGAACGGAAAATGCACTCATTACACGAAAGGGTCAAAAAAGATAAAAATACAGTTTTCCATTGTACGCGAAAATATGCGTGGATTATTATATTATCGCGGGGATTAGCTTTCCGATTGCGAACGTCGCGGAAAACCTCATTGGTACTTCGAGAAACACACGCTGTCCACTGAATCTATGCACATCTTTCTAACCTAATGGAAGGTCTAGTATCGCCGCCCCACCCTGTTTTGAGAAATCCCTATTAATAGGCCAAAGTAATTTTGTCGTGGTTCAACTAAACCCAATAGCCTTGTTTAAAACATTCAGTTCTATTCTTAACAATAATCGGTTGACGAACACTGAAAAAAAAACACGTGAAAAGTAGAGGATATTCTCAGATATCCCTTGTGCCATAAACATAATATAACAATAAATCTACCAACAATAAAACGTTATAACAATAAATCGATTAGCGAAAGAACTATGCAGTGTTTTTTGCTCTGCACACCACCCTGTGATCATGGAGTGGCTTATCATAGACTGGCTGTTATTTAGGCTGTCGCGTCATTTGGATTAACATGACGGACTTGCTATCAATACAAATAATAAAGCGTATAGGCGTAAAAAACTGAAAATTTTTTTTTATGTTTTATGCTGTTAGTTAAGTTTAATCGAAGGTTGGGTAGTCTAACAGCTCTGATGCGTCTTTCAATATTAATCATACATAAGCAACCTCGAGTTAGATTTCTCCCCTGAACGTCAAGAAGCCTTTAATAGGACTTGCATAATAAGGAGGAAACAGCTCTCCTTTGCTAGGATAGAGGAGTTCAACGGTGATCAATTCTACACCTGAGACTATGTCATTATTATTACAAAGTAAGACAAATTTTGCCAACTCTTTAAAACCTATCATTTCAATCATATCATATAATGGATGAAGGGCAGGTTTGAAAATCTGCTTAAGATGTTTCTTAAGGACGTTCCCGCGAAAATTCCCAGTCAATAGAAATTTTTCAGATTTTTACTGCCGTCAGATAATGAGTTACTTATGTCAGAAATGCAAAAAAATTGGGGTCACCGATTTCGTTGCAGAGATAAAGCGTTTGTAAAACTACCCTGATTTTGAAAAATTGGCGCTCGTAATTTACCATGGTCTACAGGGGTTTATAGTTAAAAATATCGAAGGTGAGTCGACGGAGGTAAACGATCTTTGTCACATTTTGTAGAAGTGGGTCTGTTGCGTAAATAATTCTAAATGTTGCCAACGTTTTCACAAAACTTAACCCCTCGAGAGGCATTTGTAACCGCCGCACAGATGAACGAGGAGCTAAAAATAACGGAATTTGATGGTGCATTTTGCAAAAAATTCAAACCTCTAATCGATAGAGTTTGTTCATATTTTCGCTAAACGTAGAAAATCGGTAAAGAAAATGATCCATCAAAAGAAAAATAGGGGTCACTGAACGTCCAAGATCGTTAAATCCAAGCAAAGCTATAGCAATGGCCATCTGCCCTATCATTGTTCATTTTATTACTTAGCGCGCGCATCGATGCGTGTGAATTTGCTTTCGCAGTAAGGATGCGCAGAAACAATTAGCGCGAACATCCTAAATCTGGTTGTGGAACCACAAATAAGGTTGTCATAGATACACGTAATTTATTTTTGTTCAATAATGCACTAACATAGAATTATTTAAAATCTTGTAAATGTGTCGTAACGACATATCTGTAGAGTAACAATCTAAGTACCAAAATTATTAAAAGCTGGGAGTTTCCTGTTATCACTATATGGTTTATGTTTGCATAAATACATATGATATACATTACTCTAAATATAAATATAATTCTCCAAGTTCCGCACTTTGTTGCTGTTTTTGTAGTAACAGCTTAACATTCTTTCATATTTTTGGAGAATACCATTCGTATCAGAGCATAATTGTAATTTTTCTTTCCTTTTTAACTTGGAAAATATTATTTTCCAAGTTGTAGTGGTGAAGCGATTTCACTCCACCACTCCTTCACTCCTTCACTTCCTGTTAGACAATTGAAACCCCGGGGGGGGAGCCCCATATGAAAAGGTCACGGATGCTCGTCGGAAAATTTGGACATGGACATGGCGAAATGAGGAACAAATCGTTGATAAATAAAAGAAATGACATTCCACAAGGCTGGGAGTTCTACAGTCTTTAATATCGCCTTGGAAAGGGAACGAAAAAAGAAAAGAAGAAAAAAAAAGTTATTACAACACGGGGTATTCGTATTTGGTCACTCCTCCAAGTACGAACCCCACCGAACAGGGCTTAACTATGTTGAGCGGACGAGACGTGGTGCTCTCCTTGTGATATAGTGAGTCTACGCTGAACGAATTTTTTTTTAGCTTCTAAGATGAGAAAAGGTAACAAAGAGAGAAAAAAAATCTCTGATACTGGCTGGGAAAATAAAGAACGAAAAAACTGACAGCAATGAAAATGAGAATTATTACTTGCTTTTGCGATCGGACAAGCGGTACTTTCTTTATAATTGTCTCGGCCTCTTCGATAATAACTCCGTCTCTCGAGGATAACTCGGTCTCTCGGACCGATAGCTTCATGAATGTTTTCAACAGTGTCACATCTCCCCGTGTATTCTCTTACCGTTGCGTTTTGCACTATTTCTTAACAATGCTTGTAGGCTTTAACTTTAACTTAACCTACGGATTAAAACCTTAAGTGAGTGGCATCAAAATTGTCACTGCTTACAGACGATCCATTTTCCAAGTTGAGTGGCTCATAGCCACTTTGATTTTCTACCAATATCTCCCAACGTGGTGACATGGTGAAGCGTGCTTCCAATAATAACAGAATCTTACAACAACGAGTAGCAGAAGGTGCAATTTCAGCAGTTTCTGGTTCCAGACACTGACAATAAACGTTTCAGACCATTTTCTCCGATTGTAATAACTTTATTATCGGCAATGTTTTTTTATTCTGTCAATTATTATTTACGAAGAAAACAGCAACAGCGGTCTCTGCACGCGGGACGCGCTAATGTTTGAATAATTTTAATGACAGTGAGTTTGGCACCTGCCTTGTGTTCCAACCACAAATTGAAAAATACGACTCAGTTTAGCCAACTTCTACATAACTTAAAGAAACTTCCACACTTGAAGCAACTAAATTTAAAGCGACAATAAATATAATGAAGTTATGTTTCATTTTCAAAGCATGTTCAATTATTGTCAGGTGTAGCTTGAAAATACTTTTTCCCTCCACGGTGTGAAATTACAGCGACCACTCGATTTGTAAATAACAAGTTCATATCATGCTATTGCACAGTGATCGAACGTGTGTTGACTACATTTATACAATTATTGGCAACCTATGCTATAGTTTTGGGTAGACTAATTTATTAGCTCGTTCATTCATCGTAAAAGCTATCTCCTTCATTATCTAGACAATTAGCAAGAAGCCGTTTGTATTGTTATTAAATAGCCTGTGGTTTGAGGTATTTTATTTTAATTGGACGAGTCTAGGCCACTGTGAAGTACGGTTTGCGCTATGCCGGCTGTGAAACATGCGTATCAATAGAATTACTTCAAGATCGGTATTTAAGAGAAAAGGAAATTATTTATTTAAAGTTCTATTATCAAAGATCTGATCTGTTTCTGTAGAAGATTTGCCTGAAAAATCATTCAGATCAGATCGCAAAACAAATAACGGATGTTAAACAAAGCCACTCTGAAGAACTCAAAGAAGAGGAAAAGTATCAGAATATAAACAAACAATGAGAAAAGAGTGAGTGCAGCCACAGACTATCTATTTGGTAAGTATCACTGTTATCATTTTAAAATTTCCTTTACAACATAAGCATTATATGTAATAGTTTTCCTTGTTCTTCTGTTTTCGCCGAAATCAAACGATTTTCTCTCCCAGATGCAATCGCCATTGTGTTAAAGTTCTTTTGTGTTGTATTTGTTGGAGCCTATATTACTCAGTCAGAAGCAGGATGAGATATGGTGGGACACTGGCCTTCAGCGTGCGATGGGCGAATCTCTCCTAAAACAATATCAGCGTTGAAGTTTTTTTGCCTCCTCAGAAGGTAAGCAACCGAAGAACTGACATCTTCAAAACGCGTAGAGAAGTTCTGTAATACTCCTAATTTTTAATCATTAGATCGTTTTTCAAAAAACATGAAAACAACTCATTTAACTTTTAAAAACGTGTGGTTACCCCCTACATTTCATGTTATGAAATGGAATGGCAAACCTATTCAACACTTGATTAGTTTCTGGTTGTGAGGAAAAGTTATTTAGATTGTATTTTTGGGTAAGCCAGAGGAGAGCTGTCAGGGACGATAAAAGCGCCATTCCAGCGATTTTGTTATCAGACATACCAAAAGTGGTTCTTATGTTACCATTCATCATGTAATTTAAAGATCTATATTGATGTGTTTGCTTTTCTGTATGTAAAGACGAATTCAAAGGAAATGTGTGAAGAAATATGTTTTCCTTCTTTTTCAGAAAAATGCTGACGTCAGCATTTTTGTCAGAGATTCAAGGCTAATTATCTCGGAAAAATGCGTGCAATAGACCTTGCTAAGATCGAATTTTCTGACAGGGTCCTGACCTGGCAAAAAGACCTTTATATCTAGTAGACACCGTCCTTAAGTTTAGCTGTACAGTAATACGACGTGAATAAGATTTTAACCAGAGTTGTCAAAATCATGTTAGTTGATATCGCAGGATATAGATAGCCGTACGATTAATAGAGTTTGATTGGTTGGATCTGGATTTGTGCTAAAAGCGTCATCTTCCCCTTCTCCCCTCGCAGAGAAGGGGACCATCAATCAGTCTCCTCCAAGCAACTCGGTTTTTTGCCGCCACCTCTGCCTCCCTCCATGTCTTGAATCAGAGATGTTCTCTCTCCTTGTTAACCGTTCTTTGCCCCGTCTCACTTAACTGTCCTCTTCTGCGTTTGCCTTCGGGTGCCCATGTTAGTGCTATCTTGGGATTTTGGTCTGAAGACATTCCCAAGACATGGCCCGGCCATTTCCATCTCCTAGCTCTTACTTGTTCACTGATTGTTGCTGGTAAAATAGAAAAGCAATAGAAAAGCAAAAAATAGGAATCAAAATTATGCAACCCTACGAGAAACTAGCTAAAACTGAGATTCTGAGGATTCTGAACATTTCGTGAGGTTGTTTGCTCGGCTTTGCGATTGTATTACATGCGGGTACGTGACACGTTGGAGCCCCGGGATTATGGACGTTTGGTGCCTTTTTTAGCTTGAACCTGCAGTGACTGGAGCTCATCCATAAAGTTTTGACTGGTGTTTTAACAGGCAGCAATACATCCATATGGTCACACCAATAAGTGTTCTTATTTATAACGGACAAAACTGAATCTGAAGTTGACCCACCTGTTAAACCGCTTCGTTTCATTTGCAGCTAACGAAACATTGCACAGAAATTAAGAATACGTTTTACTTTTTGTTTCCCATTTAATTTCTTTCAGGTAGTAGAAGACAGTGGTGAAAGAAACCTACCATGGCAAGTCTAGATCCTGTTTTAACCTGGATATATTTTGTTCTTCTCTGTGTTACAAGCATTATTGCATTACCAGCCAACATCACTGTTCTGACCTGGAAGCCATCCAATCCCGATGATCGATTGTGTTTTGCAAGGCTTGGTCATTTACTAGCCAGTCAAGCTCTCGCAAACATCATTATAGCTATTGTTTTTATCCCGCTGTGGTTGTTTATTCTAATTGTGCAACACAAAAACAACACCTCAATGAATCTTGACGAACTAAATGAAATATGTGTTCATAGTTTTGATGTCTTTCATGGATTACTAGCTAACCTTCATCTGGTTGTTATAGCAACAGAAAGGACGTGTGCCATTGGCTGGCCAATCATTCATCGCACGGCAGCAGATCGGATCACCTACATAGCAAGCGTCTCGCCCTGGTTGGCTGCTTCTTCACTATCATCAATTATGATAGTCATATACTATTTCACTAGGGCGCCAGTTCTCGCAGTTGTCTCTTCCTCTACCTTTTTTGGATTCCCCGCTCTTGTCACCTGTGCTGTATTCTTAATGGTGCCGCTGAGATTGCTTCAACACGAGTTAACTCCATCACAAGAAAATAACGTTGCAATTAGCAAAGCAATGGCTCTCGTATTTTCGTCATATTTTATTACAAGCTTGCCATACCACGTTGTCAGTGTTTTGAACTTCTTCTGTACCTCCTGCGATCTTAACAAGCTTTCTACATCAATCGGATTAAGATGTCTTCTGTACAGCAGTTCTGCCCTAATTCCCATGACAGTAATGTTATCAGTGCCTGATCTGAGAGCTAAAGTACAGTGGTGCTGTTTCAGGTTTCACGCCATTAATGAAGAATCTCAGAATGATCTGCATGCTATGGAAATTCCAGGTATTCAATCAACAAACAACTCATGCACCCTTGTTAACACAGTACAGAAGAAGGACGAGCCTGTACAAGATGAAATTCCACTTTAAAGAGGCTTAGACACCTACAATGTATTACAATGTCTAGACTGGACTAGAAGTTCAATGACACCACACCGAAATGATATTTCAAGGGGCACGGTAAAATGAAGACAATTGATGGGATTAGAAAATTGCACTCTGATGGATGTCGGACCGAACACGTAATACGTAACTCGTAGTTTAGTGCAGTTTAGTTCAGTTTCAGTGCGGTTGATTACGAAGCATGCTCAAATCAACACCCCAGTCTATATTACAAAGTATCTAGCTCGAGGCTTGATCGACTTTCTCGCTATTTTTGTGGGCAATTTTATTCTCCTCTCAAGTGACACGTGACAAAGCGATGCTTTTTGTTTTTACGTTCTTCGTACCACCGGACCTATCTGTTCTGTGTCCCTCGTAGTTTTCTTCCAAATGCTGGTTTTTGTTGTTTTTTGTTGTTTTTTGTTTTTTTCATTTAACACTCCATCTAGCTTAGGAAAGTAAGACCTTTGTAGATGGTTCACTCGTTCTCAGTTGTAGAGGTCAGGAAAAGACCCCGGGAACGAGTTTTCGGCCAATACGCACTGGAGCTTTGAACATTCAAATGAGTTGCAGTACTTTTATTAAAGATACAAAGAGAACCGTCTCCACGCTTTCATGTTGTCTTAAAATGATTGTCTACCAAAGGATGTCTAATAACCAAGATAAGACAAATAAATGAAATGTTTTGAATAGCATCTGTTAACTAGATTTTTTGAGTCAACAGAGCACCCAAACATTGCAAAAAATAATCAGCAACATCGGACATGAAAAATCACAGAAACTTGATATGCGAATAACTTTTCATGCAGATTTTATTCTTTGGTTTAACGAATGTACTGAAGTGATTTGTGTATTCACTAAACTTGCCATCAAATTAACAACTCCAGTAATCGATGATAATTTTTAAATTGGTGAAGGTGGCCGACAGTTTGCTCTGTTCGAATACGACAGGGACGGCTGAATAAACACCAGCATTTAAAAATGTTAATTGAAACGATATCGAAGCACAAAGCACAGCCAAAATGACAACGCTTGTTTACTGTGTTCGGAATTATAAATGTGTGGGATAAAAATAACTGAGATTTTTTCTTGACTAATTAATTTTCGTTTTGGTTAAACGTGGTCAAAACTCGCGAACGGATTTCATTTGAGAATACGTTTTTCACACCCATGGTAAAATTTTGATTTTAAACTCGTTATTCAGAAATTGGAAACATTCGATTCATGGTTTGAAAAAAGGATATTAGCAAGAGTAGTTGTCTTCAAAATTTTATTATAAACAGTAGTCATTTCAAATTAGTTGCCGTGACATCTCGCGAAAGAAAACTAAGTTTTGACTACTCCTTGATTTCCTTAATCTGCCAATTTGTTTGCCTTCGTTGTTTGTTCGCTGTAAGGTGGAAACAATTGATATTCTACGACACAAAAAGCTCTGCTGAAGGTTGACAGTTGGTAGCAGTATTCTATTTATGATGCGGGCGGCCAGCCACAGAGATATGCTTAAAGTTAACACCAACAAAAAGGTAAGAATGTTATTATATAAGACGTTTACCAGGTATTTTTGTAGATCAAAGCCAATTTCTCGTCATATATATATGGCCTAAAGGAGATATGAAAAAATCTCTGATGTGCTAAATACTAAATCTCGACAACCGTTTAAAGCAAGAAAACGCGTGAAGTCTTTTCCTCCTGAAACATACTGATATTCACAAAGTGATGCTTTTGTTCCGAAACAAATGAGTATGACCCTTAATTCCCCAGCATGATAGAAGGAATTCAGTCAACAACCGAGCCCGGCAGCACCAGGATATAGTTCTCGGTCTTGATTTTTAAAACGACCGTGAAATGCGTAACAAAACAATGAACAGATAAAACAACAAACCCTATAAATAATTTAAAATGAAAGAGCAGTGTAGGGAGAATAAATCTGGCTTACCTTTAAAAATGCAATAATATATCAACGACATTTGTCTTTTTGTGTTGCAGCGAATATAAAAGAAACTAACATCGTGTCATGACCGTGACTCATAATTAACATTGGTTTGACTCGTTTCCTTCGCGGTTTAACTGATGTTACAAAGTGACACGATTCTCTCCTTCCTTTTCTAAACATGAACAGCATGAGATAAACAGAAGCTCGAGAACAGTCATCACACCATAAGCAGCGAGAAGCTAATGTCACTTCTATAGCCTGAAGACGAGGATCTCTAATAAGGCGAAGGATGATAACTAACACCAATTCATCTGGGGATCACTTGATTGGTTCCAACAGAACTAATACAACCGAGGCGTTCCAAGAACTGGTTCGCACAAGCGCTGCTATAAAAATTACATTTTGTATTATCTACTCGATTATTTCTTTTAGTATCGTCTTGGGAAACATTATTATTGTTTCAGTTTTTCTAAGAAAGCATAAACTACGCACTCGCACTGCCTATTTTCTTGTGAATCTTGCGTTTTCGGACATCATCGTGGGTGGCGTTGGAGTACCTTCTTTCATCTACATTCTCGCTAATTCAGTGGAATTTCCAAGCTTTGTTTATACTCTGTGGAACACAATCGACGTATTCAGTGCGACAGCATCCATTTGGCATTTAATGATGATAAGTATAGAAAGGTTTTATGCAGTAGGATGGCCATTCCTGCATCGCATATCTTCTAAAAAGCCATATTTCTGTGTCATTGCCCTGGTATGGAGCGTATCAGTAGCGCTGTGCTGTATCACAGTGACAGAAGCGTCCAGATGGCCTTATTACACACTCTTCGTTTCTGTGGTTTCTTTCCTTTGGCCTCTATCAGTCATTCTTGTCGTCTACATTGCCATGTTTGTAATTGCGTCAAAAAGTGTTCATCACAATCATCAACAAGCCCAAGGCGCAGAAAAGGAGACACGCATCGCTAAAGCAATCTTGCTAGTGATTGGTTGTTTTCTAGTGGCTTGGGGTCCTTTCTTCGGCCTGAACTTTGCATACTGGGCGTGCCGTTCATGTGTTGATATCAAATACGAAGTGATTCTTGCTTTCAAGGTTCTTCAATACAGCAGTTCGCTGGCGAATCCTGTCATATACACACTGCGACTTCCTGGTTGCTATGAAGCATTCATGGAGATGTATGGCCACTGGTTAATTAAGTGTAAAAAGTCTAATTATCTAGATAACTTGGAATATCCGCTTGCTCCTTATGACGACATATCTTTGATCAGAATTCGTGGCATCAACAACATCTCATTTCATTCCCCGTCATGGCGAGTAAATCCTACAAAGCGATCGATGAAAACACGGGTCGGCAATGGAAATTCATCAAGATTGTTTCGAAAATCCAAAAACATGACGTTCTCGTCGGTGATATAGTCGACCATGTGTGATCTTGTGACACAACATTAACATAACTGGCCTGTGTTTTTAATTTCGCCGATTCAAGTCTTAAGACTTGACATTTTCATGTACAAACAGTGTACTTGCTCCTCAACGATGTTATCGTTGTCACATGGTCTCAATGAAAATTAGAGGAAAAGACAATTATATTGGTTTTAATAACCACAATAAGAAGATAACTGGGAAGGGGATAAACAAATAGGATCAATATGTGTTTCAAGCAAGTAACTTTGTTGTAACCTGGGAATAGGCAAGAAAATTTGTCCTTGGACACTTTCCGGGTAGACGGGCGCAACCAAAAAAATAAAGAACTCAGTTACTGCAAGATCAACTCAAGGACGTTTAGCGAAACATGGCTTCAGTAGTCTTGAGTCGTCAAAAATATTTCTATTTTTCCTTTTCCCTTGATAAATTCTACAAAACCAATAGAAGAAAATAAATATTCCTTTATTTACTTCTCTTTATTTACTTATTAGATACTTTATATCCAATAATCAAACCTGTCAGCAAAACTCAAGGTAATTTCTTTCATTCTTTTATCTGTTTGCAATTCCGTATTAAATGGACGGGGAAGACGCTACAAACTCGCTTTGGTGATTTTCAAAATGAATGCAGTCCAAAGATGAAAAATATTGCATCCTCTTAATAAATAACTTATGATTTATTATGAGAGATAAACGTTGATAAAAATTTCTTCATCCACTTATTGATATCCATTGAAATATTACATCAGAATATGTTTGAAGTAACAGTCTACATGTAGTCTGTAGGTCTAGCATTTTTGGGCAAATGAAGAACTTTTCGCCATTCGTATATATTCGATGTGAAAATCAAGATATGAAAGGGCGTTTCATTACTCTATGCCTCTGCTATCTAAGAACCGTTTCAGTGTTAATAAAATAAAAATCATTTTTCAAAAGACTTTCTTCACCTTCTCCTAGAAAAAATTGCACGATAAGTAAGTATGCGCTGAGTCTAGCTTTTTACACCTCAAACGTTTAAAAAATATATAAAGTGACAAAACAAATACATATATATATCTGACCGATTTTCCAAACAAAAAGGTGCAAATCCTTAACATGGTTTTCATAAATCCAGTCATACATATTTTGTTCAGAATAACACAACTATCATCCTACGTGGCGACACTCGAGCTGTCGGCCGCTGGCGCCAAATTAGATTTTTGGAGACACAAAATGTTTCCTAATTTTCACCTCTTATAGCCTGATATGGTTTTGGAATTCTAAATTCTTTTGGGTGAACATTGGATGCCGTCTCCGGTGAGAAAAGTTGCCCGATTTCAATGCTTACATTGAATTTAAGACAGTAGAGTTTATCCCGCCAGCTTAATACTGATTAGTTAATTCAAATTTTAGGCGCACCAGCCGTATGCAAGACTAGGGGGTTAGAATATCATTAGGGTTAGGGCATTAGGGTATTGGGGTATTCGGGTATTAGGGTGTTAGGATATTAGGGTATTAGGGGATTACGTTATTAGGGCATTGGGGTATTAGGATATTAGGGTATTATGGTATTAGGGTATTAAGGTATTGGAGCATTCGGGTGTCAGGGTATTGGGGCATTGGGGTTTTGAGTCTTTAGGGTATTAGGGTATTAGAATAGAAGTGTATTAGGGTATTGGTTTATTAGGGTTTTGGGTATTTGGGGTATTGGCGTTTTGGAGTATTAAGGTATTAGAGTATTGGGGTATTGGGTTATTGGTGTATTAGTGTATTAGGGTATTGGGGAATTACCCTCTCGTATCCGCTTTAGCACACGTTTCATTTTTCTCTTTTTTTTTCTGTCAGCCAATCATGTCACATATTTCCTTAAGTATCATTTAAATTTTATAACCGTTTCATCCATATCTACTTAGCTTCAGTGTAGCCCATGAAGAAGGTTAGTCCTATCTAACCGAAATATTGGGTATTAAATTTACCCTTTTCAGCCGTACTGTCAGCCTTTCAATTGGTCTTATGAATTACTCTTATACCCTAATATCCTGATAGTCTATCATCCTAACACCCTAATACCCTAATACCCTAATACACTAATGCCCTAATACCCTAACGCCCTAATACCTAAATGCACTAATACCCTAATACCGTAACACCCTAATACCCTAATACCCTAATACCCTAATACACTAATAACTTAATACTATTATACCCTGATACCCTAATACCCCAATACTGCAATACCATAACACCCTAATACCTAAATGCCCTAAAATCCTAATACCGTAACACCCTAATACCCTTATACCCTGATACACTAATATCTTAATACTATAATTCCCTGATACCCTAATACCCCAATACTCCAATACCGTGTTGCCTTAATACCGTAATACCCTAATATCCCAATACCCTAATACCTTAATACCCCAATACCCTATTACCCTATTACCCTATTACCCTAATACCCAAATACCCTAACAGGCTAATACCTTAACACATTAATACCCTAATACTTTAAGACCCTAAGTCCCTAATACCTTAACAGCCTAACACACTAGCACCCTAATCCCTTAACAACTTATACCCCAATAGCCTAATACCTCTTAAACTGCAAATTTCTCGGATACCGACGTTTATTGTGGTTAGTACATAGGGAACATAGGAGTCATATTTGACCTTTTCTCCAGTTAAATTCGCCGTACAATTGTAGCGCGAATCGATTTTTTGTTGATTCATGTTATGATAAGTTGGTTGTCCTGTGTGAGGTATTGTCACGTGATCTTGAGGATCACGTGTGGTGTAAAAGTACTGCAATAAACTCTTGAAGTTGAAGCGAGCAGATGTGTATTTTCTCATACTCATACCAATTCAAATGACTCAAAATCAAACTGTGCACATCCGATCGTGTTGCGATGATTAAGAGTCTGTCCACGAGAGGACCAGGCAGACGTGGCACATGCCATCTCACCGATTTCTCTCAAACTTTCACAGATGATTAAGGTCATTAAGTTATTCAAGAGTCCTTAGAGAAGCTGTTTACACTGTTCGCCATTCGGCATCCAATCGGTAGAAAATTCCACAGAATTGTACCTCTTTAAGATACGGAGGAATTCTTGATATTTGATTTAAAATGAGGGATTTCCAGCTTAAGGCTGTTTCTTAGATTATAGGAGGATGGTGATTTTGCAATATGTGCAGTCATACAGGGTGGTGAATCATTGTAGTACATTTTATAAATTAGTTTCAAAATGGAGTTCTTATAATAGGTTCTTAGAGTGTCCCATTTGGCCCTAGTGAGGGCTTCAACTGATGGTAGGTCCTTAGGAAAATTGAACATAAGCCTTGCTGCTCTGGAGTGTAGTCTTTCGAGTGAGTCGAAGTCATCTGAGCGATTCGTGCCTCCCCATACGGATATACCGTACGTGACTGCAGGGATTATAACTTTGAAATATAGGTTTAAGTGATCTTGCTTAGGTAAAAATCTGCTCTTCTTTATGAGACTCAATTTGTTGACGAAGCTCTTCTTTAGTCCCTTAATATGTGCTGACCAGTTCAATTTATCGTCAATATCGACACCCAAGAGTCGACTTTGTGTGACCCGTTCCAGAAT